TTTTTTTAATTACATCTGCACATGATTGGATATTCAGTTTGAACAAAGCTTCAATTTATACACAGCTATAAATTATAATGATCGCTCCAGTACATTTTCTGCTTCTTTAATTGACTATGTTCTGTGCTTTTTAGAGGATTTGTCACAGTTAGTAGTCTTCTAGAAATGTTTGGTTTGTGTTCTGTTTTTCAGGTTCCTGAGATTCAATTTATAGAAGTATTGTAGAAGACACTGTATGCTGTAGCAAGTTTAAGTTTCTTCAGGGTATTCCTTGTGTATACATCAATATGATTCATGAAGTACAAATTCTGTGCTTGGAGACGCTAAAGAACTGGTAACATAAAAATGTAACAAGCATTATATACATATCAGCTGATAACATTCATTTTAGCAGTTGAATCTTTATAAATAGCAAACAATGTAGAAGTTTCTGATTTAGCACATTGACTGTGCTTGGAAATAGTCTTTTATCCTTTTTATACAAATATAATGGAGGAACACACATTCAGCTCTAGAACTATGCACCTAATCATCTTTGCTTACAAATATAAAAAAAATAACATCCATTTATATAAAATTAGTCTACAATCTAAATTAGCAATGAGTCAAGCTTACAGGAGATTTTGTGAAAGCGCCATTTACCAGTTACTTTTTTGGCAGAGTGGGGGGAGCAGCACTTGGTGTCTGGAATAATACAACTCTTGATGTAAAATTAAAATCATTATACCTCCAATACTCCTGCTACTCGCTCCTCACCCAGGTTCTTGCGGAGATGATGGCATTGTCATGTCAGAAAGGTCCAAACCCCCAGAGGGGGTCCATTACCGTCATACACTGCTGGGTGTAACCAACTGGAAGTGACCCCTTCCTTTACTCCCCATTGATCCATCCATCAACTACCAGTGACCAGGGGCGGACTGACCATTTGGAAACTCGGGCACTGCCCGAGGGCCCGGGGTCAGTAGGGGGCCCCATGAGATGCCCCGGGTACCTTTTTCATAGGCTTTTTTGAGTTTGGGCAAGGACACGGGCCCCATAATCCCCTATTGCCCAGGGGCCCCATGAGTTGTCAGTCCGCCCCTGCCAGTGACCAATAAAATCAGTCCAGTGCAAACCAGATTTTTTTGCAGAGTGGTAGTTTTCCCTTCCCTTGATTGGAAGTAGACATCCCAGGAGTCACAATTCAATCTGTTCTGATCCCCTTAACTCAAGCAGTCAGACTCAACAGTACAACATAAGTAAACTCAAATATGCCATACTCATCCACCTTACCAAACATTCGGTGTCTGCTACTCCTCTCTACCAATACCTCCACTGGTTTCCACTCACCCAATGAATTAAATTCAAAATACTAGCAACAACTTACAAAGCCATCCACAACTAGCCACCAGATACATCATTAACCTAGTCTCAAAATACTAACCAAATCATTCTCTTCATCCCACCCAAGACCTTCTGCTCTCTAGCTCCCTTGTCACTTCCTCCATGCCATGCCTGCCTCCAGGACTTCTCCCAAGCCTCTCCCATCCTGTGGAACTCCCTACCCCAATCTGTACCAATGTCACCTACTCTGTTGTATAAGGCACAGTGGAGCCCATTGGTCCCTACTTTTACCATTCTGCTCTGTTCTTATAATGACCAGAGCAACCTCTAACAAAAAACATGTATTAAGAAAGGCAGTGTTTTTTCACAGTAAAGAGGACTGCATTGTCCTGTCATTTGTTTCTGTGTTGAAAGACTTCTCTGAGAAGGGGTGGTAGTTGAAACCAGAAAACACCCTAGACTGTTACTTTTTTATCAGAAAATAGGTGCAGGAACTCAACCACAACCTCCCATAACACCCCCACCCCCCACAAGCACCCTCCAAACTGAATCAGATAGTAGGTGTGGTCAATTTAACTAACAGTGGGAGGGTCTTAAAGGAGCATTAAATACCAGAAGTCCATTACAGAGTGCAGAGTTGGGGGGTCACACAGAGTGCAGAGTTCAACAGTGCGATACGTACAGAGTGCAGAGTTGGGGGGTCACACACAGAGTGCAGAGTTCAAGAGTGCAATACGTACAGAGTGCAGAGTTCAGGGGTGCGCTGCATACAGAGTGCAGAGTTCAGGGGGTGCGCTGCATACAGAGGGGAGCATCACACACAGAGCGCAGAGTTCATCTTTCTTCCATAGTTGCTTACCTCTGCATCTTCCATCCACATCTCACTCTCACCCCTCTTCAGCTCTTACCTCTGCATGCAACCCCCCCACTACCCCCATTTTCTCCCCACTCCTTAAAAGCTACACCATCTTTTCGCTTGTCTTTTTTTTGTTTCTGTATTAAGATGAAACACCCAGCCAGCTCTAGTACCTCCCCACACACTGTAGGTGGCTCCACCTGTCTTACTTGTAAGGAGATCATCCCGTGGGGTTGCCAGCATCCGCACTGCACCCCAGGTACCTGCATCCTTGTTCCCATCCTGCACTCAGTCTGAGCCACTCAGGAGATCAGATATTTGGAAGTCATTGGGAGACAAGCTGTCACTTGTAAACACAGAAGCTGGATGTCTGTGTTTACAAGTGATGGTGGTGAGCAGAGGGACTGAGCCATAAATGTTGGAACTGGGTTCCACCAAATTACAGCTGAAAAAAAGCCCTGCTGCTACTACACCTTTCAAAATCAATATACTGATTCTTAAAAAAAAATATTTGGCATCCACAGGATTTGGCAGGCAGATGTCAGGTTATACATTGCATCCATTTATAGGGGGCTGTGGCCCCCTTAAATACATGTAACAATTTCTTATTTGACTGGCATGCACCTTTAATACTTTGGTAAAATCCTCCCACCAGATACCTTTTAAAAAAATAACAAAACTCACTTCATTACACAGAGTACATATCTTTTAGCAAATTGTACTGTAATTTATTACTTGGACACTTTTTTGTGTAACCGTTTAGCTCAACCATAAAATCCAAACAACTACTCTAATGTATTGCAATAGAAAATTATAGGCTCGCTCCATTTAAAAATGTGCATCATTCAATTTATTGTGCAAAATCAAGGTCATAGATAATCATAGCTTAAAACAAAACACATTCACCTGGACACAGAGCATAAAAAAGTATATAAAGAAAACATTTTTTCCCACCCCTGTTGTACAATACAGAAGCTTTCATATTCAGCAAAGTAATTTTTCTTCCACTTGCGCCCAGACCGACACTGAACAGTAGCCCAACAAGGTGAATGCTCTTTGACCAGTAATCTGTATAATCCATCTAGGTGGAAAACTATGAATATCTTTAAGTGTACAGTTCTGTCTTTGACCCCTTTTGGATTCAAAAAAGCTTTGTGCAGCAATTTTGGCTGGGCGTACCATGACATTGTAAAACTGAATAGGAGTACTTGCTGTATTCAGCAGAAGTAAATAGCACTGGATTGTGTTTGTGATCATAATTGGATAAAGGATATTGACACTAGGTCATCGCTGGAAAACAGTTTACAGATGAAAAAATAAAATTGGATTTTTTTTAACAATACAATTCTATGGAGTTGTTTGTCAGGTTAAAAACTATATAAAAAAAAGTAAAAAAATAATTTGTCTGGTTAAAAGATGAATTGAATCCTCAAAATTGTTTGATCCGTTGACCTTCATATATTTACACATAAATACTGCATATCATTTATAATCCCTTTTGTTAAAAGTGGCAAAGGCAAAGTGGGGATTGTATAGATATCCATAGTAACAGTGTCCTCAATGTGTTAAAGTTGCATTGTGTAGTGCAATTATTGCTATCTACTAAAACACTAAATTTCCTTTTGTGGAATTGTAAGTAGAAAAGAGAAGGTGTACTGGTTTAGTAAATATTTTCTTTATTTATTATGACAGGAATAAAAAAAAAAAAGTCGTAGTCATTAAAAAATAAAATATCATATTTTACTTATGTGTATTTGTGTAGCCAGCAGGTAGAGCTCTCAGCTCTTTTACACATTTTTATGGGCTCTCCTTGGACCCTTTGATAACAAAAAGTCCACCATTTACAGAGCTCAAACTGTATTTTACAAACACACTCGAATGACAGTAACTCATCTCACAATGGACAAAGCAAGCCTTACAAAAAGCAACTGTTGCTGTGCTATATCAATAGCTATCCCATAGTGCTCTTTAAATCCTTTGTCATGTATTAAATGTGCAATGGTAGTTGCCATTACTGATAAGATTTTAAAGTGTAAAGCCCAGAGATTTCAAGGTTAGTCTTATTTCTAACGTCTAGCCTAAAACTGGTCATAGGCAATATTTTTATTTCTTGTTTAACAAGCAGGCTGGAAAAAAAAAAAACACTAGCAGATTCCTCCATCCACACAAGTGAGGGAATGGAGGAATTTCCCTCCAACAGGTCTTTGTGTTCTGACTGTGGAAGCCGGCTCTGTCAGAATACACTGATCAGCGGCTGCAGCAGATTGGCTGCAGCTGCTTATTGGTATATTCTGATAGCAGTCATTTGATCAACATTGTCAAAACGACAAAATTTTTTCCAATTTGTCCATCAGTGGCTGCAGTGGTTTGGCTGCAGTCACTGATTGACAGAATTTTTCCAATTTATCCCTTCAACATAGGTTGATCAAAGGATCAACTTCTGGTGAGTGGGGACGACCACCAATCAATCTTGAAGTTGCCAAATTTTGATTAGTGTATTGTAACTTTCTAGTCTTCTAACTAGCATTCTTGAAATCAAAGGATCAACTTTTGTTGAGCAGGGATGACCACACCTCTTCTAATTCTCATTCTTTTATAGTCCAAATTTTCCAGTTTGGCCCTTCTACAGAATTTGTTCAAAGGATTGACTTTTGTTGAGAGACAAAACACACTCTGATTGAAATTCAGCCAATCCTTGCTGACCCAAACAAATTGTGATCAGTATATGGGTAGCCAGGGGCAGACTGACAACTCATGGGGCAATAGGGGATCATGGGGCCCCTGTGTCCTTGGCCAAACTCAATAAAAGCCTTTGAAAAAGGTACCAGGGGCATCTCATGGGCCCCTACTGACCCCGGGCCCTCGGGCAGTGACTGAGTTTCCAAATGGTCAGTCCGCCCCTGTGGGTAGCTTAACTTTTCAGTCTTACTTCTTCTAACTAGCATTTATTTATAGTCCAGTGTCCTGATAGTTAAAGTTATTGTAAAGCCATTGTTTTTTTAAGCAAGCATGTTATAATTATTTGCTCTGTGCAATGGTTTTGCATAGAGCATCCCCAATCTTCCTCCCACTGGTAATCTTTGCTTCTTCCCCCTACCAAGGGCCCACCATAGCAAATGGTTTGCTATGGAGGCACTCAAGCGGGCTAACTCCTGAGCTGTCTCTGTGTGTCCATAGACAAACAGAGTGTGGCTCGGCCCCACCCACCCCCTTCATTGGCTGTGATTGACAGAAGTGGGAGCCAATGGCTCAGCTGCTGTGTCAGAGCCTATGAGGAGGGAGAGAGCCCAAAAAGATGCTGCTTTCATACACAATGCTGGATCGAGATCAGGCTCAGGTAAGTATAGGGGGCCAATGGGGGGGTTACCTTAATGAAGAGAATGCATTAAAGTGATTGTAAACCCTTCCATATACCCAGTGAAGTGACTGGCCTCAGGTGATACAAAGAGATGATACAAGGCCTCCTAAAGAAGGTGTACCTGTTTACTGTATCTACAGCCACCTGTCCCCTACATCCATTCATAGTGCAACATTTACACAGCATCTCTCAGCTCTGAAAAGCAGAGGGTGGAGAGATGAAGTTACATCAGTAAGGAGAGCTCTGAGAGCTGATTGGAGGAAAGGGACACCCCCCCTTCACACAGCACACAGGAAAAGAGCTGAGGCTGTCGATCTGCTGGAGGTCCCTCCCCTGTCACCGTTTTATCTCTTGGTGTCAGAAAAACTTGTCAGAAGTGATTCATGCAGGAAGCAGAGGAACAAGGCAGCAGACAGAAATGACACTTAATTGGGTTGTACCACTTTTTATTTTTAGGTGTTAATACACTAAACTATTTTTTGTGTTCCTTTTATAAGGTGATTCATTTCACGGTTTGAGTTGGACATATTTAATTACCATTTATTCATGCCTTTTATGTAGGGGTTAGTAGTTTTTTGTAGCTCAGCACTATTTATTTTTATTTTTCTAGTGCTCTGGATTGAGACAAGTAAAAACTATAGAGGGATATGCTTTGTTCATATTTCATATCTGAGGTTTACATTCACTTTAAGATATAATAGTCAGCCTTTGGAACCACTTCAAAGCTAAACTTAATTATATTTTGAAAGGTTCCTTTAAGGCAGATTTATACTTTGAAAAGCACCAAAGAACTGATAGCAAAAAAAATAAATAAGTTACCATTAGACAATCAACCATTGTAATGAAATTAATGTTTTAAACTATATTTGGTACTGGATTATTAGCTCTTTAGAAAGATAAGATTTCCATTGTATGAAAATGCCAATTTAAATTGTGTACTAAACTATTATATGCGTCAGTCCACTTTTTTTTTTAATAACAGAAGAAACATGATAATTATACAGCTACAAATAAATTAATTTTGCTTTGCTTTGCCTTTACAGTACAGCTTATAATTATCAGTAACACAAGAGAAGGTAATTCAGCATTAGCATCTGTTCTGGATCTGCCCTCTCTCTCTCCCTCTCTTTCTCTCCTCTCTCTCTTTCTCTCTCTCTCTCTCTTTCTCACTCTTACTCTCTTGCTTTTGCTCTCTCTCTCTTTTATGTCTTACTGTAAATACGTCTGATAAAGTTGTAAATGATACCTTATATAGAATATTGTGGTGAGCTTCTCGAGCAGTCTGCAGATTGCAATTTGCAAGGAATGGCGTACAAAGGCAAAATTAGTGTTCAATTATTCAGAAAGGTCATCCCAGATTATTTTGTGCATATTTTAATAAAATGGCACCTGCTAATATTTACATCAAATAAACGCTTCACGAGGGGAAAAAATGCATAATGCGTTTATTTTTTCCTCTTTCCGATATTACAGACCTATACATATTTATGCAAAAGGGTTCATTTGAAAACCTTGCAGCGCATTACATATTTTAAATTCCAGCTCAATTGACATGTTAATTACAAATATGTACGTTTTCTGCATTACCTTTGAGGACGATAGTGCAAAGCAAATCAAATTTCAGAAAGCTTATAGGGGAGGAATAGAACAGAATAAAATGAAAGCTAGAGCTACAGTTTTCTTGTTTTTCTTCTTTGTATACAATGTCTGGAGCAAGTAATGGGAAAGTGGTAATAGTGGCAGTTAGTTGTGAAACATGGACATAAGCTGGGTAGACAGGGTCAGAATATTTGCTGATTCAGCAGTAACAGGCCAACATTCAAACTGTGTGTATAGCTGTCTTTCCTTCAGAAGCCAGACTAAGAACCAACTTTTGTTGGAGGAACATTCTGGAGAACCAGCATCTGATCAGCGCTCACAGTCAATGGCTGCGAGCACTAACTAGTGTAGACTGGTGGGGGAGTCCCCCTTCCAGAACACAAAGGCACAGCGGAGAGATTGCTAAACTAACTAAGCCATGTTAGTACAGTGATCTCTGAGGGCTTTTTTGTTCAGCCCGCTGGGTTCAACAAATATAGTCCGTAACGTATGTACCAGGGGCGGACTGACAACTCATGGGGCCCCCGGGCAATAGGGGATCATGGGGCCCCTGTGTCCTTGCCCAAACTCAAAAAATCCTATGAAAAAGGTACCAGGGGCATCTCATGGGGCTCCCTACTGACCCCGGGCCCTCGGGCAGTGCCCGAGATTCCAAATGGTCAGTCCGCCCCTGGTATTTACCAAGCATTAGAGGATAAGTGCACTTTTAAATAAATACAGTTGTTAAAGAGGAACATCACTCTTAATTTTTTGTCTTTCCAACCTTACCTTGTCTATGGAGTTATCTTCAAAAAGCATACTTACCTGTTCTGAAAATCCAGCTTTGGCCGATGTAACTTACTGCTCCACTGCTTGCTGGTCCCATGCTGGCTTCTTATTTTCATATATCATCAACGGCCTGTTTTTATTTTCTTGGTTCTTTAAGTTGACCTCTCAATGAAGCACCATTGTTAGGAATGGGTTCACCTGCTGGTGGCACTGTGGCTTCCAGACCTATAGGCTGTAGTTCTGGTGTCCACCAGTGGGTGTCTCTCAACAAACAGAAGCTCATGGTAATTAGGCATCACTTGATCATTACAGAAGGTGTATTTAAACATTGCCTGTGCTTCTCCTCTTGGCCTTGGTGTTTGTCCATGTGCCTCTGACCTGTGTTTATGCATCCTGCTCCTGCTTTTGACCCTGCACCCTGATCCTGATTCAGACTATGCAGCCTGATCCCTTACCTACCTTATTGTTCCTTCACCTGTTTACCCCCTCCCTGTCCTGGCTTTCTCCTTTCTCACTCTGTCTGATCCTCCGTATATGACCCTGGTTTTTATGCCAACTACGATTCTCATATCGAGCTATGTGCATATATTTTGGTTTCGACGGTTGTTTATTGTTTGTTCACTCACTTATGAGTTCTACCGGTTTTATTTATGCAGTTCTGATATATTGGAGGTGTGTTTATATTTTTGTTATTCACTTATTCTTAATAAATTACATTATTTTACATTATATGGGTGCTTGGTGTTATTTTCTGTGCAAGTCCACACATTTCTAGTCACTCCTGTTTCACAGAATATCAACACTCGTTATCACTGACAACTACAGTGCATTTGGAAAGTGTGGTGTAGATCACGTGGCTCGTGCTCAGTGTAGCATAGATTGCCCTGAAGCTTTCTGGGAAATGTGGCATAGAATTAGAGGAGCTGCAGGCATATGGGCTATGTGATTGTTGCTTAGGCAATAGAAGCAGAGTCTTCAGCTATTTTGTAAAAAAGAAAAAAACTGTGATGGTGATAGGGGATAGGGGAAAGATTAAGATTTTAGGTAAAGCAACGAAGAAGAGTGAAGGTCTGCATTGAGAGAAAAGCAGAATATTTGCACTGACAGCTATTTCGTATTGCAAGCATACAAGTTTCTACATTTAATACAATAACAAATTGAAAAGCATACTTGTAAAACGTAAAAGTCATATACAATATAATAAGGTAATACTGGGGCATTACTCAGTATCCACATTGTAATGCCTATGAAATGTGTTGGCCTTGGACCCTTTGTTTCTTGAGTAATTTTTACAATAAAGCATCGTTGCCCAGATGCCAGGAGCATGAGACATTGATGTCATTTCTCTAGGCCCAAGGAACAGAGTCACAAGCTATTAGACTGCTTAAAGCAGACAAGAACTTGTTTGTGGGATTAAACATGTTTATGACATCTAGAAATGTTACATTAAACTGCTTAAATTAGATAGGAAATTGTTTGTGCAATAAAAGATGTCTACTTGCTTGAGAAGTTAGAAATCTTTAAGTTTAGGGTAGATAAGAAGCTGATCTGAAGCAAAAGTGTGATATTCTTACATAAACATTGTTTGTTAGGTGTAGTGGCTGGGCGTGACTCTGTTATCCTCATGGAACCTTTCTGCTAGCTCCTCCTAGAGTGTGTGTGGTGCCTGCCCACTTCGAGAAAGCTGCCAGAAAAAGGGTTTAAAAACAAGGAGCTTAAGCGGGATCAATTGGGAGCAGCCTTCCTATGCAGATTAGGACGCTCTGACGCTGGGACTCTTGCCAAGGCTATATGGGCTCATCGATTGGTCGCATTTACAGCTTCCCCGCAACCCCCTGTGCATTATGGTTCTGATGGGGTCTGTTCCTTCCCGTCTTCCCATAGCTTTGGCAATGTATTAATTCTATGCTGTGACGCTGTCAAAAGATGTGTCTATTTCATGCTGTAATGCTCACATTATTATTGGTGTGTTATTATGCAGATTGATGACTATAAGATAAATCCTCCTGTGTGTCATGTGATAATGAAAGTGGAGGTTTTGACAGTGCAAGAATATTGCAGTTAGATTCTGTTATTTATTGGAGTGCCAAGTTAATGCTATGATGTGCCAGGGTAGGTGTTCATCCGGTAGTAGGTCTTTCACATGCTTAGAATAATTAGTGATGTAAATGCTGGTTCAATGTACCTGTGTGCGTGATTGTGTGTATATGACTTGCTTTTAGTTATTGCATCCAGCATTGAATTGCACACACTCATGGGAAAAAAAAAATTCTTGTTAAGTTAGTCCTCTAGGAACTACAGGTCCAGGATCTTTTCTCCACTTCAATCCCTCTATCACCATCTCTACTGCCGCTCCTGCCTTGTGCCATGGCAATGCCTTCAGCCATTGGACAGCCACTGATGATGTAATTCCTGCACAAGTGCAAAGGAGTTACATTGATCCTGACATCTGGATCTTTTGTTGATGGAGAAGACAAAAAAGAGTTTGTCTACAAAAGAGACTGCACGGCTTGTCTGCTGAAAAACTCTACCTACTGGTGATTTTGTGCTTTGGTGACTAATAAACCTGTATTACCCTCAAGCAACATTAACTACCATAAGGTGCCACGGCATACCTTTTCTTTAACAGATCCATTTTTCGTAGTGTGTTTTGCTAGTTTTCCAAGTTCCTATAAAATTATCGTTAGTACTAAAAGTCAATATTTGCATAGGCATTGGCATGCCTCCTTTTACCTTTCATATGGGAATAGTCAGTTCTAATGATCAATTAGGGATTGATCTTTCACTGTATAGGTCTACAGGACTGTAGGGGGAGGCAATCTAAAACAAAAAATAAACACTCGCGCAACTCATGAACAAAACTAAGGTCCAAATATAACTTCCTTGCAATGTGGCATCCACATTGCAAGGAAGTTACATTTAGATGTTAGTTTTAGAAAATAACAGCAGCTGCAAATTGAAATGGAAAGTGAGCTAAGCCTAATGAGGAAACCAAATTAAAGGTGAAGATGGGGCTATCTGAAGAAGTGCTTGAAATACTTGCAAGAACATTGTGGGCTTCCTTCCAGTCTGGGTCCAAGGGATGCTTTACCCACAAGCAAATTTTGAGTTTCTTGTGTAAGCAAGGGGTTAAAATCAGTCTGGTGAATGCTGACTATTTCTTTTTGCCTTTCTTTTTCTTGGGGATGCCTAGCAGAGTCATACAAAGCAGTGTGCTTCCAGTGTAAAGCACACACACGGTATAACAGTACACAGTTAACACTTTGATAGCCCCACATGTTAACCCCTTCCTGCCCAGTGCCATTAGTACAGTGTCAGTGCTTTTTATTAGCACTAATCACTGTACTGGTGTCACTGGGATGTCAGTGACACCAAGTCAGTTCCCCCAGTGTCAGAATGCCTGCCACAGCCCCATGATAAGTCACCATTACTAGTAAAAAAAAAAAATCCAGGATATATACCGCCATTTGTAAACGCTATAAGTTTCACGTAAACCAATTAATTTAAACATATTGGGATTTTTTTTAGAATAGAAATGTAGCAGTATATATTTAGGCCTAAATGTATGACAAAAATTTTTGATTTTTTTTTACTGGACTTGTTTAATAGCAAAAAGTCAAAAATATAGTTTTTTTTTTCAAAATTGTTGGTCTTTTTTTGTCGAAAATAAAAAACACAGAGGCAATCAAATACAACCGAAAGAAAACTCTATTTATGAGGGAAAAAACCCATAAATTTCATTTGGGTGTAGCACTGCATGACCGCGCAATTGTCAGTTAAAGTAACCAGTGCTGGATCGCAAAAAATTACCTGGTCAGGAAAAGGGGGGTAAACAGGGGCGGACTGACAACTCATGGGACCCCCGGGCAATCGGAGATCATGGGGCCCCTGTGTCCTTGCCCAAACTCAAAAAAAGCCTATGAAAAAGGTACCAGGGCATCTCAAAGGGCCCCCTACTGACCCCGAGCCCTCGGGCAGTGCCCGAATTTCCAAATGGTCAGTCTGCCCCTGGGGTTAAATCCTCTGGAGGGCAAGTAGTTAATTCAAACTGCAAACATGACAGTATAACCATACAGGGTATAATGAGAAAAGACTAAAGCAATCAAAAAGTCTTTAATTAGTATGCAGATGTGAACAGAAGGCATTCACATGCCTTATTTCATCACCTATCCCAAGGAGAAGTTATAGGAAAATCCTTACTGGTGGCAACTAAGATAAGGGAATTCACCTAATTTTGGATAGATTTTCCTCACTTCTTTTTGCATTTTCTGGAACATGCTAAGAAAAAGCTCCTTAAGGTACTCAAGGGAAAAAAATTAAAAAAAATTATACTCCTTTACTTACAGTACTGTACAAAACTAAGAAATCTTCTGAGCGAGTTTAGTCCTACTTTAACACTTTGGTCTTTGTTTTACCTATTTGCCAAGAAAGCTTTTGACAGCCTCAACACTTGCTATCTGTTTCCATCCCATAATTACTTCCTTGTGAGTGACAATGCAGCTTATTCAGAACAGATAATATGATAAGCTTATTGCATTTCGGGAGATGAGCTGGTTGACGGACCTCCTCATCTGTGATACACTCAGGGACGGAAGTGGCCATCGACAGGTTCTAAGTTTCAGATCCCTCCATGCAGAGATAGGAAAGACCATAAATACATTTTGTTACAATATTTTATAAATCTGTAGTGAGGTTATGATATGTAGTTATTTTTATGCAAAAGGCACTTGCTAGAGATCTTTAAATAATGCCTACATGTAAGTGGCACGGAGATGTAAGAAATGCTTGAAGAATTCATTTACTTTGAATGCAGGCAGTATAATATTTTCTCACTGTGGACAGCAATGAAATCTGGATAATCGCACACAATAACAGATTATCCAAATCCTCTACTTATACAAATAAAAGGGAAGACGATGAATTTTCAGCGGGATCATTAGTCGCGGACAGACTTAGTGAAGAATATTTTTACGACCGCACTAAATAATTCAAATACTTAAATACCCTGTATCTGTGTATGACATTTGATAAGTTAATAGGGTTTTGGATCATTTGCAAGTACAGTGTTTCTGGACAATGCATTCATTTAATCCCAGGCACTGCGCACAATGTTAGGTTTGTAAATTCCCCAAACAAATCTGTACTTCTGTTTAGTTCATCAAGTGTATTAATAAAGTGATAAAATTTCATTTTGGAATTGCATTATCCAGCAGACTCTCCATCATCCATGTATCTCCATCTAGGAACGACTGTCAAGAGTTAGAGCACTCTCGCTAATGTCTTCTATGATCTCAATTACTGGAGTTTCAGAGGAAATGCGTGCACTTAGAATTGATCCTTCCAACTATTAATAGTTGTTTTTTTTTTTTTTTTGGCTCATATGTTTGAAAATGAAACAGGTTTTTAGAACCAATCTTTTTGCAATTGAATATTAATGAACAGACAACCATGCAAATTCCATTAATAGTTTTGAAGCTTGAAAAGTTAGTTGATGTCATTCTTGTTATTGGCTTTCCTGAAAACATTAATAGCTCTGGCAAGTGGTTAGATGTTGCATGTCAAAGACCTGGCGAAACCTTGTTTTTCCTTGTGGCAGGCTCCTTAGACTATTGATACTGCCAAGTTGAGAGCACTCAAGTGTGTGTACGATGCATAAAGTTCAATCATACTGCAAGTGTCATCATGCATTTTTTGATTTTATTTATTTTATTTTCCATACAAACATAAGATACAGTATGTCATAAAAACCAAAAGTATATATCCCAGCACCAAAAAAAGAAAAAACTATATGATTATGCAGCTGTGCACCAGTGAAAAGACACCAATATTAAACAACACAAAAACAGCGCAAAATCTAAAATTAAAATAACACAAATAGATAAACACTAAATTTATATTTTATATTATAAATTTAGTGTTTATCTATTTGTGTTATTTTAATTTTAGATTTTGCGCTGTTTTTGTGTTGTATAAGATATGTCATATATCTTTTTTTTTTTTTTTTAGTAACAGTTTATTTTTTTATAACAAGCTTTTGAGAGATCTTTTTTTTTTTCTAGTCCAAGCAGTGCAGATACATAGAGGTTTAGCAAAATGGCAAGACAAAATCTACAATTAATTTAGCTATGCTAGATAAGGAGTTGATAGTAGCCTATTGAATGACGTGGGATAGAGTCAGAATTTGTTATCTCAACCACTTCATGTCCAGACACTTTTATCCCCTTCCTGTCCAGGGCAATTTTCAGCTTTCAGCGCTGTCACACTTGCGCGGTCATGCAACACTGTACCTATATGAATTTTTTTGAGACAGATAAAACTTTATTTTGGTGGTATTTATTCACCACTGGGATCTGTATTTTTTTTTTTTGCTATATAAATGAAAAAGTACAAAAATTTAGAAAAAAAGTGTTTTTCTTATAAAATTTTGTAAATAAATAATCTTTCTTCATAAATCTTCACCAAAATGTATTCAGTTACCTTTTTAGAAAAAAAAATAACCAAAATTAGTTTATAACCAAAAATTATAATTTTTCAAAACTTTTTTTTTACATTTTTATTTAATTTTTTTATATTATTATTATTTTTTTAACATACTGACACCCTAGCAGTACAGTGTCACCATAGTTACACTGTACTACTTGTGGGGGTGATGAAGATTTTTTTTCTTATACTGATTGCTTTTACACCTACTATAAAGACTGTAAAAGCAATAATTTCTCCTCTCTGGCTGCATTCTTGCAGCCATTCAGTAATATGTGTGAGCTGTGATTGGTCACAGCTTGTCACATGGTACAAGGCTGTTTTGAGTAGCCTTGGACCATGTGATCTCTGTGATCATTCACATATTTCACAAGTTGTAAGCAATGATATCAGAAGTGACATCTTGCTTACTACTATTCATGTGATCACTGATTAGCCAATCAGTGATCACATGATCGGGACCTCACACAGAGGTCCCGTACAGGATTGGTGTTCCACTGTGTGAGGACACAGTGGGCACTGGATCGTAGTGCCGCGCGCTCCCAGGGAGTGTGCACAGTCCAAAATGGCAGGCGCCATTTATGAATGGCAACCCGCTCCTGCACTACTTTCCCAGTCCAGCCCATGTATATAAACAGCCAGATGGGAGGTGGTTAAAGAAGATCCTCATCCTGTTTGAAAAAAATTAAAAGTCACAAATACTGTAGATGCTGACTTTAATAAAAGGGCACTTACCTGTCCATGGATTCAGCACCATCCTCACCTAGACCAGTTCTTCCCTGGTCTTCAGGTCACTGGTTCTGGCATGTTTAGTGTGGGAAGATGGCTGTGACTCCTTGTGGTTTCACAGCTGGAATCTCACTGTGCATGCCATGCTGCGCTGTATGAATGGTCCCACAGCCTCATGTGACCTGTGATGTGTCCTAAGAGGTTGCGAGCAGGGAGGGGGGATGCCGAACCTCTGGTGGAATCCCCTACGCAATCTGACCGGCAGTGGGAGTGGGTACCTACTAAAACTAGGTACCCACTCCCCTTCCAAAAAATGCCCAAAAGAGTTAGAGGAGAGGGGAAGGAGCACATACAACTGAACTTCCTAGAATAACAAGAACAAGTCAAGAATATGCACTTACAAAAATATGAAGCAGCCTAAATTGCTATAATAATAAATGAAAACCTCTAAGGGAAGACTATTTGCCCCACTATGTACTGTACCTGCATTCTCTCCTTGTTAGATCAAGACTCACAAGGTTGGAAGCCCCAACAGGGTCAGCTCTATTTTTCTGCCCAACTCAGTGCTGAAAGCTGACACTCTCTCCAGGGTGTCTTTGACATATTAGTTTAAGATATACAATGAAATAAATATGTTTTTAAACCAATAGTTTTATTCATGAATACATTTTAAAACATACATCTGAAATATTACAATATATTACAATAAAAACAGCACAATTTAATTTGGGAGCACCAGAGACTTCTCTAAATTCAATCCAGTTTTTTACTATTCAGCATCAAAAGATGTAATGTTTAGGTATTTGATTTTGCTGTAAAACTACTGAGTTCTGTCAGCATGTTTTATGGACAATGTTTCACATTTTTATCAGGACAAATAGTGAGGGGCATCTTCATTCTTCAACATCTACATAATCAATGGCATAAGGTTACTCACTGTGCATTTACATATGTTCCACAAGAATATTACATGTATGTAGTTTAACATCTTATGAAATATCTTACAATAAACTTCACTCTTCACCCTTCAGAAGGTCCTTCACCATCCTGGAGCAATGTTAGGGCACAAGCAGAGACTGTAGAGGAGATCTACAAGAATTTCCATTTTGTGTTCCCTTGCTTCTCTCTTAACACATCCATACAATCAGCCCTCCATTGGGCATAATTACATCTTAGAGGTGCTGGTTGAGGTACAATTGTCTGATAATCGAGCTGTTATGTTTCTTTATGTAACTCTGACAGCAAATTTGTTATATAACAGATTTACAGTATGAATGTCTCTTTCCAGTACTGAGCTGAGACAGACAGAGGAAAGATGAGAGGAAGATAATATATTCGTTCAGCCCCTCAATGCCAGGAAAGGAAAAAAAAGACAAGAGAAGGCAATGTTCTAACAATCTTAGAGTGGAGGTTAAAGTGATTGTAAACCTCAGACATGTAATATAAAAATAAAGCATATCCCTCTATAGTGTGCACTTGTCTCAATTAACAGCACTGAGTGTCATTTCTGTCTGATGCCTTATTCCTGTGTTATCAGCACACTTCTGACAAATTTTCCTGATGCCAAGAAAAAAAATGGTGATGAGGATGGACCTCTAGCAGATTGACAGTCTCATCTCAGTTCATGTGCTGCGTGAAGGGGGTGTGTCTCTTCCCTCCAATCAGCTCTCAGAGCTCTCCTCACTGAGCTCTGCAGAGTGTAACTTTAGTTCTCCACCCCCTGCTTTCTGAACTGAAGATGTAGAAAATACTGCAGATAAACAGGTACAACATAAGTAGGAGACTTTGTTTTATCTCTGTGTATCACCTGAGGCCAGTCCATTCACTGGGTATATGTAGGGGATAACAACCACTTTAAGATTGTTACAAGTGTCCATTTTCACTAATCCTTTTTTATGTTCCATATATACAGTGGGGCAAAAAAGTATTTAGTCAGCCATCAATTGTGCAAGTTCTCCCACTTAAAAAGATGAGAGAGGCCTGTAATTGGCATCATAGGTAGACCTCAACTATGAGAGACAAAATCCAGACAATCACATTGGCTGATTTGGAAAGAATTTATTTGCAAATTATGGTGGAAAATAAGTATTTGGTCAATTTCAAAAGTTCATCTCAATACTTTGTTATATACTGTATTTTAGTGCTTTCTCTGTCCCTGTTGGAGAAAGGTTCTGGGCACTCACTCTAACTGGAACACAAACAAAAACACATTTTATTAGGGAATAGCTAAACTTTCCAACACATTTTTATTTCTGTATGTGAATATGTGCTGTGCTAATAACTTAAAGTGGAGATCCAGTCAAAATAAAAAAAAATAAGTCAGCAGCTACAAAAACTGTAGCCGGTGACTTTTAAAAAACAACCACTTACCTGTCCCTCGATCCTGTCCATCCCATGTCCCCGGAGCTGGAATCTTCAGTGTGGGCACCCGGCTGTGACAGCTTGCAGCGAGTAGCGCTGCACTTTGTGATTGGTCTTGTAGTCATGTGTTCCAGAAGACTGCAGGGAGGGAGGGAGGGACAATTTTGGCTTCCGATTGCCTAGGTGACTGCAGTAGAAGTGGGAGTGGGTACCTGTCAAATTCAGGTACACCCCCCCTCCATTCTGCAAAGATGCCAATCCTTAATGGACAAAGCCTTTAACCACTTGCCGTCCGCCTGCTGTTTATAAACGGCAGGGCGGTGGCAGTCCAGGGGCGGGTTGCCATTCATAAACAGCACCCACCATTTCTAGCTGTGCGCGCTCCCTAGGAGCACGCAGCACCGCGATCCGGTGCCCGCTGTGTCCTTCGGACACAGTGAAACACCGATCGTCGGACGGGATCCCGATCATGTGATCACTGATTGGCCAATCAGAGATCACATGCAAAGTAGTAAGCAAGATGTCACTTGTGACATCATTGCTTACTACGTGTGAAATCTGTGAATGATCACAGAGGTCACATGGTACAAGGCTATTTACAACAGCCTTGTACCACGCGACAAGCTGTGACCAATCACAGCTCACTCAGTATTTCTCAATGGCTGCAAGAATGCAGACAGAGAGAAGGAGAAATGATTGCTTTTACATCCTATATGGGTGTAAAAGCAATCACTGTAAAAAAAAAATAAATAAATAAATCTTCATCACCCCCCACAAGTTGTACAGTGTCACCAAGGTGACACTGTACTGCTAGGGTGACAGTATGTAAAAAAAAAAACAAAAAACAAAAACATAATAATAATATAAAAAAATAAAATAAAAATTTAAAACAAATGTTTAAAAATGATAATTTTGGTTATAAACTAATTTGCCTTTTTTGTTTTTTACTAAAAAGATAACGGAATAAATTTTGGCCAACATTTATGATGAAAGATTATTTATTTGCAAAATTTTATAAGAAAAACACTTTTTTTCAAAATGTTTGGACTTTTTCATTTACATAGCAAAAAAAATAAAAACCCCAGCAGTGAATAAATACCACCAAAATAAAGCTTTATCTGTCTAAAAAAAATGGTAAAAAATTAATATAGGTACAGTGTTGCATGACCGCGCAATTGTCATTCAAAGTGTGATAGCGCTGAAAGCTGAAAATTGCCCTGGACAGGAAGGGGGTAAAAGTGTCCGGACAGGAAGTGGTTAAGGATGAAGCTCTGCTTTAAATAATCATAAACCTAAGGCGTAAAACATGAAAATGCAGCATGAAACAAAAATCTGCAATGCAAAAGTATTTTTAGGTATTTGCATTGGAAATGTAGAGTATGTTATATGCTTTATTTCAATGTTTTTGGCTTTGTGCTTATGAGTTTTTAAGTTACTAGAACAGCACACATTCACATCTAAGGTAATTTATCACACAGTACATGCAGCTTCAATCAGGACTATTGTGTTCACAGAATTTTTTTTCTCATGCACAATTATGTTTTTTTTTCTCTCTGTGCCTACCTGGTGATAATAAGTGTTGGAACGTTTTCCAATTGGCTCATGAATAGAAATAAAAAAATTTAAATATTAAAAAAAGGGGAGCACCACAACAAATATATAGTGTCCACTAAGTATTTTATTCCATTATGTCAGTTGAAAAAAAACAAGCTAACGCGTTTCCGGGGATCAGGGTGTCCCCTTTCATTTTGATTGGTATGGCGTGATTGGTGCAGTATCTATGGGTAGGCAAAGGGGCTTCTGGGATCAGCCTTGGCTATAAACCCTATAATGTTTAGAAGAAGAGTAATGCCAATAAGAATTTTATTCCTTCATGTAAATGGAAAAAACTTTATATCCAGGGGTGGTGGAGTTAAGAGGGGTGAAAAAACCTGACTAGTTGTGTGAAAAAGGTAAATTACTACACCAGTTACACTGGATTTTTTTCACCCCTCTTAACTCCACCACCCCTGCATATAAACGTTTTTACATTTACATGAAGGAATTAAATTCTTATTGGCATTCCTCTTCTTCTAAACATTATATGGTTTATACCCAAGGCTGATCCCAGAAGCCCTTTTGCCTACCCATAGATACTGCACCAATCACGCCATACCAATCAAAATTTAGGACCCAGCGCCTCTCACCCATGCCCTCAGAAATAGAAACCTTGGTAGAAATTTTAACTCTCCCCCAGGGGCGGACTGACAACTCATGGGGCCCCCGGGCAATAGGGGATCATGGGGCCCCTGTGTCCTTGCCCAAACTCAAAAAAGCCTATGAAAAAAAAGGTACCGGGGGCATCTCATGGGGTCCCCTACTGACCCCGGGCCCTCGGGCAGTGCCCGAGTTTCCAAATGGTCAGTCCACCCCTGCTCTCCCCCCACTCTATTCAAAATTTAAAAAAAATAAAAAAACGTTTGTCTAGAGTGAGTCTAAATTTACCACAAGAAGCATTGAAGATAAAATGTGCTTAGTTTTGGAGATTTACAAATTATTAGGCATGACTTGAAATAGTATATTTTAGTTAATTTTAAATTGATGTGCTCATTTGTAGTTTTGAGAATAAAGAAATATTTTACAAAACAAGTGACCTTAGCAAACCCACACACAAACCAAAGAGGAGATAAGAGCAAATAAATTAATCATGACCAAGGTTAGGACCTTGAGTGGATATTTGGCCAGTAGCATACCCACCACACAATGCTTCAGTGTCAACGTGTTTGCATTAGGGATGTATATTGAACTAATTAACTGTTGCAGTAAGTGAAGTCATCCTCTTTAGAGTACTTGAGTGCATTTAAAACATCCAGAGCTAATAAGAGAGTGGGAAAGATTGTACCGTTATAGAGCTACAGCAAGTAGCAGCCGATCACAAGAAAGAATTCTAATTTTACCTCTGCTTTGTTCTGTGGAACAATAAAACTATTTTCTGTATGTTATGAGAACAATAAAATGAAGCTTGTCAGCCAATAAGAAAAAGTTAATTTCATATTGTAGTATGAACTTTATGTGGATGATGTACTGTAAACAAAGACTAATTTAGAGAAAGTGCTTGAAGAAGAAGGAAAATATGAAGCTGGTAGACAACTAGCCCAGATAAAAAAAGACCTAAGCTGCCTCAACTAGTCAAAGCATTTTATTAGCCTAGGGTAGAGCAGAGACGGTTAAAGGATTGTAAACCCTTTCATATACCCAGTGAAGTGACTGGCCTCAGGTGATACCCAAAAATGAAACAATACTCTTACAAAAACTGTACCTGTCTATCTTCAATCTTCTCTTCTTTTCATCTGTTCAAATTGCTGAATTTATAAAGCTTATCTGATAGTTCAGAAAACAGAAGGTGGAGAGCTGAAGTTACACACTGCAGAGCTCAGGAGAGTTCTGAGAGCTAATTGGAGGGAAGAGACACACCCCCCTCCAATACACAGCTCACAGGAACAGAGCTGAAGCTGTCAGTCTGCTTTAGGTTCCTCCTCTGTCACCATTTTTATGTTGGTGTCAGGAAAAATTGTCAGAATTGATTCATGGAACAGAGGAATGAATCAACAGACAGAAATGAAATGTAGTGCTCTTAACTGAGACAAGTACACAATATAGAGGGATATGATTTGTTCATATTTCATGTCTGGGTTTTACAACCCTGCCCCAACCCATCAGATTATCACCTACTCTCCTCTCCTTTAGGCGCACCCTGAAAACCCATCTCTTCAGGGAAGCCTACCCCACCCCCTGCTAACTTGCCGACCTCCTCCACTCTTCCTACCACTCCATCCCCCACAGCTATCTCCTCCTGTGCCACCACCCCCTCCCTCCTAGATTGTAAGCTCGAAAGAGCAGGGCCCTCGATCCCCTCATGTTTTGCATTGTATTGGTATTGTTCTGTCACATGTTCTGTCCCCCTTTGTAATGTACAGCGCTGAGCGAACTATTGGCGCTTTATAAATACTGTATAATAATAATAATAATAATACAACCACTTAATATATTTAAAAAATTAATTTTAACCGCTTTTGTCTTATGGGGAAATTTTGGAGACACAAAAGGAAATAAAAGGATAGTACCTATAAGATGGAAGATGGCTCTGGAATTTAATATATGTACCCCTGGCGTGGCACTATCCCAGATATGCCTAGAACAGAAAACCGGAGAGTACAATTGCATCAAACCTGGTGGTCCTGTTCTATCTCCAGTGAAAATGGAACTTTGTATGTATCAGCCACCGAGAGGATAAATCTGTAATATCACATCGAACAGTAATAAAATATATATACTTTTATTGGTTGATTATTAAAAAACTGATTCTGTATGCTTATTGTACATCTTACTGCTATTTGAATGTAACCACATGCTGATACCATCTTCAAAGATCATTTGGTTTTAAAATGTGAAATGTGACTTTGTTTTTTAATGATGAACCAATAAAAGTATATATATTTTTTTATCACTGTTATTCAATATGATATTACAGATTTATCCTCTCGGTGGCTGACAAATACAAAGTCCCATTTTCACTGGAGATAGAACAGGACCATTCGATTTGACTGAAATAAAAGGATATCCAGTCAAAATGAAGCCCATGAAGCCCATCCAGCATAGACACTAAGTCAGAAGCTGAAAAACATAATGGGGAGATTTACATGAACACGCAAAATCTGGTGCAGTTGTGCAAAGACATCAATCAGGTTCCTGGAATTATTATCAGTTTAATTGAAGCTGAAGTTAGAAGCTGATTGGTTACCATGCACAGCTGCATCAAATTCTGAGAGCTCAAGTTTTAGCACATCTCCCCCAATGGTTTTTTGTTACCTGGATGTATTCTTTTTCATAGCTGCTTATTTTGACCATCTCATTTTTATTAGGCTAGAATTGCATTTTCCTTCAAGAGCAATATGGTCATAAGCATAGATCCTTTTGTGCAACTCAGAATCAGAAGAGCCCACAGAGATCAAACCCTTATTAACTTAATCAGATCAGTTTTTATTTATATGTTCAATCAGGTGCAGCTATACTAATGATAGGAATAAAAAATATGGGAATATACAGGCAACAATAATGCTAATCAATTGCTCTCAAGATTCTGCAGTCTTGGCATGAAGAATTCCCTCTTTTACCAGAAGGCTCATCTGTGGCTGTAAGAACATAGAATTATATAACAGGGAATACACAGCAATAATGAATAAAAAATGCAGGACGGAGCTCGGGAAGAGTTTACATATCTTTCCCTTAGCAATACCTATGACTATACAGAATATTGATCCTTATATAATACAGGTGTTGTTTAGTTATACATAGAACTATTCAGTTTAGAGATTGATTCTGAGAATAAAGGATGACTTGTCTATGAGTGTAACAATGTGATGCTGGGTTTGCAACTGAATTTTAGGAATTCCTTTATATGCCTAAGGCCCCTTTCACAGGATCGGTCCAATCGGGTCCTCCTCTCTGTTTTTCAGGCAGACCTGGTCATACCCTCCATTCTTCTCTATGGAGTGGCGGATGTAAATGGACATGCATCCCTTTTACATCCCACTACCTCTAATCTGATCAGCTAACAATAAACGGAAGGAGATCTGTTCCCCTCCATTTCGATGGATCAGATCAGAGGGCAGTCGGGTGTAAAATGAGCAGAGCAGGGGCAGATCTCCCACTAAACAAAGGGGAGTCAAGCGGAGTCAAGCAGAGTCTGCCCTATGTAAAAGGGGTCTAAAGCCTACATCAAAAAAATATTTTAAAAAAATCAGTACAAGGGACATTATTTACAGTCAATGTGATGTGTTCCTTGGGGTGCTGGCTGCTGCTTTAGTTAAAATCTTCCTCATCCAATCCCCCCTACCAGTAATCTTCTGGTGCTGTGTGGGTTATTGGAACCAAGGGACTTGTCATTTGCTCTCATCAAGAGTGCCCAACTATACCTATCTAGGAATGGAGGATGGGTGAATACATTTCTAGGCATCAGTCTTTATCTTCTGTCAGGGACATATATGCTGCTGGTTGTTGTTTCCAGAACCCAGCGCTGCTTTCAGCTGACACTTTATTACAATCCAGGGAGTACCATGATACACATGTGACCACAATGTTTTCTATCCCTGGGAATGCAGTTTATGTACATCTGATTATTGTTTTACTTATTTTCACAGTTTGTAATGTTTCTGTTTACATTGATTTTAATACATTTTTGGAGGGAACATGACATCATGGGGCGGGGCCAAGCTCATTTCA